TAAAAATTGCGAATAATGCCTAATGGAAAATTAGTTTTTACTAAAAATATTTTCGGTAATCTAATTAGTCTAAAAGTATTACATATTTTCTTTTATAAACTATATCCTTATTATAATTCGAAGTCTTAATGAACATGCATGGTTGTTTAAAAAGAGATCACGGAAAATTTCATGATTCATAACAATTAAAAAGTATTTTAAAAATTTTGAGCAATTATAGAAATCAACAGATCTAAGATAAATTCGAATACTTGATTAAATGGGAGTATGAACTCTGGAAAAAGAAATTTCTATGAAAAATTATATAATAATACCGGCGATTGCAGCGATGATATCCCGCCGATGATGTACTCCGTCTCTCTATCCAAACTCTCTATCTCTCTTTTTCAAATAACATCCTATCAATCTATCCCACTGTTTTCCTCTCTCACTCTCCCTGTTTCTCTCTCTCGCTCTATGGAGTAATCCATCGGCTGCGATTGCACATCGAAGAAAGCGAAGAAGGTAAAGGATAGAGAGAAGATCGGTGGAGGCGGCGAATGAACGTGTGGTCGTGAATGACGGCCAGGAGATAGGTTATACCGATTATATTTTTAAACTGGGCTAGAGTGACCTTATGGATTGGGCTGTGGTCTTGCCAAAATTTTTGGGCCACACTTCTTTTTTTTAGACTTGGTTTGTAATAAGAAAATTAAGAAAATTGAAAAAAATATATTTATATAAAATAATATTACAAAAATTACATTTTTATATTCTTTAAGTTATTGTATTTATTGCAAAACTAAAGCAGAAATTGAAAGTTGGTTGAGTCGATGTTACAAGTGCAAGAGTAATCGAGACTCTGAATTTATGGAAGATTGTTGGAAATGTTTTAACGTACGTGGTCATTTATCGTGCTTACAAATTGGTGACGTTGGATGGGGACGCTTTTTTGTTTGTGATGATTGTTCGAGACTCACAACACCCTTAATGACACGACCGTTACGCCGACGATCTAAACGAGTGAAAATTCCAAACAAGAAATATTTCAACGATCTTTATGTTCTTGATTAAGTTTTTAAATATTATGTTCTTAAGACTAAATGTAGACAATTATGTTATGTAAGATAGTATTAAGTTGGAACATTTTGAAAACGTTTCCAACAGTATTGTTTCCAACATGCTTTTCGGATGTAATTCAGGGTTGTTAAGTATTCGAATGCCTATTGTGATTATGAAGAATATTAATTTTTGCTAATGAAAATCTGAATTCACACCACTATTGATTACCAACATATCATTCTACACGCTTAACAAAGATATAAATTTTATTATTAGTTTTTAAGTTAAACATTGTATGCTCCAAGTTTGTATGCCTATTTTTATTTTCATAATGTTAGTTTTTAATTATTAAAACCTAAATTTATAGAGTTAGATATGCTTAGAAACTATGCTTTTTTATTACTCCCTCCGTTTGGAAATATTCTTCCCGTGTTGACTTGGCACGCTTATTAAGAAATAGTAAAAAAATGCAAAATTTTCAAAAATACACATACTATAAACTTTTAAATCTCTTTTTCCTATTAAAAAAGTACTAAAAAAGTAGATTAGTGATAAAATAGATGTGTATTATTGAAATTTATCCTTAAAAAGTATACTAAAAAAGGAAATGGTGAAGAATATTTCCGGACGGATCACAAAGAAAAATGGGAAGAATATTTCCAAACGGAGAGAGCATTAAATTCTAAATATAAAATTTAAAGTGGAACATCATAACTTCTATCTTGAATAATTTAAATTTTAACATATCACTTAAATGTTTGGAATAGAAAATGGAAGATGCAATTCTTCGAAAGAGAATTCCAATTCTAAGAGTTTTGGTGGAAATTGTTGGTTTATATTTTATTCATTTATTAAAGTATTCAATTTCGTATTAAAGTATTCTTGCAATAAAGACCTTCCGTCAACAAACCAAACTACGAATGTAATTTATAAGGAAGTGTTCCAAAACTTATAACACTGCATTTCGACTACAATCCTTGATGTACAATACCTTTTTTGGGCAATTTTAATAAAATTTGTAATCTTTTTATTTTTTTTATTTTATTTTATTTCAAATCAACACTAAATATAAGTTATATAAGTTACTTACTGCCCGTGCATCGCACGGGTACGAGTCTAGTGCTCTTAAATGACATATATATAGATGCATTTACTGTTTAAAATTTCACAGAAAATAAAAAGTAAGAAAAGTTTGAGTCTCATTTTGATTTGGTTCATTAATTACGTGTTGGAAACTAAAAGATTTCAATGATAAAATACTTATATTCCATGTGCATCATTTCTCACTGAATGTATAGGAAGATAATACTCCTTAATATTCCATACCAATCTCTTGGAGAATGAAACAGTTTCTCTATTTTTGAGTAGGGGACACAAAAGTAGCAGTATTTGATTTGAAAAAAAAGATTTTTTACTAGGTTATTTAATTGCTAAATCATGGATTTAGTCATTGATAGATTGTAGGGGTGAGCAAATACCAAACCGGCCTTGAAATTTTTTGAAAAACTCGAGGTTACCGAACTGAAAAATACCGAACCCATAAAGTACCGAAAAAGAACCATATCATACCGAATCAAATGGTCGTTCCGGTATTTGGGACCAGTACAAGGTTAGTTCCCAAATTGAAAAATCCCTCGAACATATATACAAATATGTTATAAAAATAATAATGTTTTTACATTTCTTCATAATCATTTATGAAGTTGGTTCAAGTGTAGATGAATTACAAATAATCATTTATTTAAATAATCATTTATGTGAATTTTAAGTTTTATAGATGAATATAAAAAAATTACTCCGTAGTTAACAAATACTCCCTCCGTCCCGGAAAACATGGGAGTTTTGATTTTGAAGAGGGATTTAAGGGGAGTATATTTTGGTATTGAATTTCCAAAAATGTCCTTTGATGTGATGGGTAAAAGTATGATTTGATGGATAGATTATTAGTAAAAAGGTATGATGTGATAGGTAGGGTATGAAAAAGTAAGAGGTAAAAGTGACTTTTTAATAGAAATGAGAAGTGTTTTTAGGGACGGATGAAAAAAGAAAAGAGAAAGATTTATAGGGACGGAGGGAGTATTTGAAATACTTTTTTGTTATCATTTACGCTCTTTTGTTTGTAAAATACAAAGTATAAATTAAACTAAGTTTTATAAGCATTTTTTGCATTTAATTATTCAATTTTCATTTTTTATCTTTCTTTATTTGAATGAACTTTTGATTTTTTTTTAAAATAAAAAGTTTTATACACTTCAAAGTGTAAACTAGGTACGTATATATAATCATCCCAATACTTATCGAAACCGAAACCCAACCATACCGAATCGATACTTCAGGATTGGGATTGATGCGATGTAAAATCTCACACCGAATCGAAATATTTGGTACAATATCGGTACTAACCAAATACCGTACCACGCTCACCCTAATAGACTGCACATAAACATATACTATCCAAAGATTAGAACCTTCTCACTTCTTCCTAACATTTTATCTTATATTCCGTATAAATTAATTATTATTATTATTATTATTATTATTATTATTTGAGGATGGGAGATATTATTTCGTTCTGTCCCACATTGATTCCTAGCAACATATTCTTTTTGCTTTATAAATGCCTTGCATAAACTTCTGTTTGCTGGGCTCATCCATCCGACCTTAGATATTGACAGCGCTGTGGCAGCTATCTTCTTTTCTTTGTTGCATCTCTTTAACCAATGAGATGCTAAAACAAATTAAGATGGTTGCCACAGCACTCCCTGTTTCAATGACCGGGTTCTTGGAATATAAATTTTTGCCTTGGTTTTGAAAAGAATTAATAAAAGGGAAAAGTTGTATTATTATGATCTCAAGTTTTACATGTAAAATGTAAATCTTTTCACATATTTTTTTATAAGTTTATAAATCTTTTTTTTCAATTTAAAAGCTCAATGCATATAATCATTTTTTGTATTAAAGTCAAAAAAATAAACATTGACTCAAAAACCATCAAAGAATTTTCCAAAAGGAATAATCGTGAATAGTTTTAAAATTTTATGCTAAAAAAACATTGTTTTTAAAACAAATAATAAGACTTATATAACCTTTTTAAAATAATAAAAGAAAAAGTTATCTAGAATAGTTATAATTTTACCCGATCTTTCAAGGTTAATCTCACCCTGATATGCATAATAATCCTAACTTTACTAAAATTTGTGAGTTTTGGGTCGCCGTTAAATTGTTTACGGTGAGTTAACAGATATGGTTTTTTTGCGCGGCAAAATAAGAGTTGAGATTATTTTTTATGAATCTTCATTTTTTTAAAGTCATCCATATATTTTTACTTTATGGTTTACCAGCTTTAGGTTATTTCCATTGATTACCTTATTTATTTTATAAATTTGTATGGTTTTACTTATTTTTCTCATTTGCGTTATTTTTTATATTTATTTTTTTCCAAAGTTAGACTAATCTTTTAAAAAAATGATGGAGATAAAGTCATTTTGAAAATTTAAATGAAAATATATTAAAAAATTAAAAATAAAAATCATAAAAAAGAATCTCAACTTTTATTTTGTGGTGCAAAACCGACCGTTTCCATTAACCCACCATTAGCAACTTAACGGCGACCCAAAACTCATTAATTTTTAGTAATATTAAGATTATTATGCATTGCAGTGAAAGATGGAATTATTTTTAAAAGACCGGATAAAGTTAAAATTATTCTGAATAATTTTTTTATAATAAAATTGTTATGGAAATTGTAAGAAATAAATATGGTGAAATGTATATTAGTATAATACTTTGAAAATAGGAGGTTTTATATGAAATTAATAGTTATTGAAATTAGGAAGGTTTATATGAAATTAATAAGAATAAAAGTTATTTTAGTTAATGAGAAATCAAAACAACAGATTCCAAAATTTTATAATTAAAATGTATACTGAATGTATATTATTTTTTTTTGAAAAATAATGTAATGATACATTATTTTATTTATTTATACCCTGTGTAATGTTTCGTCACACAATTAAACATAGAGGCATGAGCAAAAAGGGCATACTCAAGTCCATATTGATAAACAGCCAATCAAACACTAATATACATACACTGCATGAATCAAGTGTTCCACTCTAAACAAGTTAGCTAAAATGACCTTCATACCCTTTCCACCACCTGCAACCATCTTGAATCATAGTTTATACATAACCCTCAAACATATCCAAGAATCTCCTTCTCTCAGGCACTGTTCTGGGAAATCACTTCCCCAAATTTGAGGAAGAGTTGGGCATCTGAGGTGCTCATGGATGGGCAATTCACCAGGTGTGGGGTCCTCAGATTCTTGTACTCATCCATGTAGCATTGCACTTTGGCAGACGGAATTGGGTTTAGCCGCGGTTTCAGGTTGGGAGAGGGTGTTATTAGGCTCCCAAGAACTCGAGTGACTTCGTGCATGGTTGGCCTTTCCAACGGCTGTCTCTTGGTGCATAGGAGAGCCAGCTGGAAGACCTTCTTTATGTCTCCCAGGTCACGGCATGTCGCCGAGATCTCCTCATCAACCATTTCCATGACTGTGTTGTTTGATGCCTTCATTAAAATCTGCCAAAGAAAAAAATAGATGCCTCTTTTCAAGAACCACTTCAACCAAAACACTCGAGTTTGTGTTCGTAGGATCGGAAAATGTTCTATACTCTAACCCATGAATCTTGGGGAATGGGTTTCTTAACGCTCAGGCAAAGGGAGAAAACTTCAAGCTTGCAGTTGTGGATCCAGAAAAGATTTTATATTGTAAAGTCCCAATAAGATTAACAAGCGTTATTTACTAAGGAAAAAGTTAAGACCGTAAGTTGAGAAAGGAAGACTGACCAGATGGAGGAGGTTGGATTCATTATCCACGGCTTTTCTACCCGTGAGCAATTCGAGCAAGACGATTCCATAACTATACACATCCGATTTTTCGGTGAGGCGGGAAGTGCGCGCGTATTCGGGATCAATGTATCCGATGGTTCCCATTATATAAGTTGAAGTGTGGGACTTGGATGTGCACAAACTTTTCGCAATCCCAAAGTCGGTTAAATGAGCCTCGAAATCTTTGTCTAGCAAAATGTTTGAAGACTTAACGTCGCGGTGGATGATTCTTGGGTTACAATCATGGTGGAGGTATGCAAGCCCTTCTGCAGCACCAAATGCAATTCGAAGACGAGTCTCCCAATCAAGTTTTGTCTTCTTAGTGGGGCCTGCAAAGTAAAACAATGTAAAAACGCTAAAGCTAAACGCTGGAATTGTTGCCATAGGGGCACATTGGTAAACTTACCATGAAGCAAATCCCAGAGGCTTCCGTTTTCCATGTAGTCATAGAAGAGGAGATGTCCAGTAGAAGAAAGGGAATAGCCTTGCAGAGAGACGAGGTTACGGTGTTTAATGCTCCCAACAGTCTCTAGTTCTGTCTCAAACTCCTTAAGGTACTGTGGGCAATGAGAGTAGAGTTTCTTCACAGCAACCGGCTTGCAGTTCTTAAGAACACACTTGTACACAGTGCTTGAAGCTCCATTGCCAATTATGAACTTCTCGCTCAGATTCTCAGTCGTCCTCATGATGTCATCGTATACATGGAGTGCCATGTTCATGTTGAGGATGACCAGCTTTGGTGACGAGTAACTTACTGTGTAGACAAAGTTTGCCAAAGAAACAAAAAGTTCAACACAAAATATCACATTTGGAGCTTGTTCTCTTCAACTTATTCTTATTACCTATTATCTATTCTTATTGGAATCAATTCAGATCAGATAAGATCAGAAATAGCTTTAAATATAACTACATTCAGATCAGATCAGACCAGAACTTAATTCAATCTGATTAGAATCAATCACATCAGGTGAAGGGAACAAGCCCTTGGTCCCATATCTTTTAGATGTTACAAACCTGGCTTTTTATCAATGGATCCCTCTATAAAGGTGTGTGGATATTGTGGCCTCCAAACGGCCACTAAGATCATCAGGAGAATCACCAAAGCCCCCAAAGCAATACCGAGAATGGCAGCTTTAGATATTGTGGCTGCATTCACAAAACATTATGAGAGTTGTCATGAATAGTTAGCTTTTTCACAAGAATTTTTTCAAGTAAGATTCTTTTTCGATAGTGAACGTATTTGGTAGGGGTAAAGTCTGAATAAACCACCCTCCTAAGACCCCACTTGTGGGGCTTTCGTAAGTTGTTGTGGGCGTACCTCGCATTGTTGGGAGAGGTGCATGACATGGGGAACTCATCCAATATCCACAAAGACCTGGATTCCCTATAAAACTGAATTCAAAAGCATATAGATAATGTCATATGTTAAACCATTCGGGGAATGAAAAGAAAGAGCACTAAAAAAAAGTTACTCCTTCCATCCCAAAAATCATTACCCAGTTTGACTTTCACTGGGTTCAAGAAAAGTGTATGGTTAGAATTTGTTTAGATGGTAGAGAAATCTTACGAGCCACATATTTATTCCTAAAAAAGGAAAAATGTTAGTGAGAAGGTGTTTTTTGAGACGTCCGAAAATGGGTGAAGTTCTTTGGGATGGAGGGACTGTCTCTTTACCTATCATGGGAAAACTTTGAGAAGTTGTCGGTTGGAATATCGCCTGCTAGATTATTATAAGAGACATTTCTGCAAAGAGAGAGGAGAGAGGGATCAGTCCTAAAATTAATCAGTCTAGTAGGACTGACTATTATGTGCATCATTTGGTAACACCAATTGGCTTAGGGGCTGTTTGTTTCAGCCTCTTAATGGTTCAGATGTCTGAATGGTTCAGCACTTAATGGTTCAGACCTCTTACTGGTTCAGCACTTAATGGTTCAAACCTCTTAGTGGTTCAGCACTTACCTATTCAGAAGTTGCCAAACAACCCCTTATTCTACTTAGCAGCAGAATAACCAAAATAATACGAAGAAGCAGCCATTGAAATACTTGTTTGGATGAATTTGGTTTTAGGAGACACTTTGACTTTAGATAATTCAGCAAAGTTTTCAACTTTAGCCAGATAACTATTTACCAAATGGGTCTAAATTTAATTCCACTTACAGGACACTGAGACTGAGGCAGCTAGCCAGTGACAACAAATCACCTGAGAGGTTGTTATATTCCACTTTCCTATCATTACAACAAAAACTTCAAACTTAGTAAGATCCCACAAATTGATTTTGGAAATACTATTAAGAAGCGACTTTGACAAGAATTCCCAAGAGTAACGATCTGAAAAAAATTAACGAAACATAATCCTTTACTTTTAATAGCACCTTTTCCCTCTGAAACCTCTTTTAAGCTTTTGCATAAGCAAAAACAAATAGGCCCCTAAAAGAGGTTTTGTCAAAAGTACAACAACAAACCCTGTAAAATCCCACAAATATGGGAAGCGTGTGTGTACTTACAATAAGTAGAGATTTTGAAGTTGACCAAGTTCTTGTGGTATTGATCCCGAGAGATGATTGTTTGATACATCACTAGAATTAGCAAACAAAAGGGTTACGGTGTGCGATTCTTAAGTGAACCATACCATCCACAAAAAAGAGAGGTTTGGATTACTCACATCTCCACAATGCTCCGTAGATTACCAAACTCAGTTGGTAGATATCCACTTAAATTATTCTTGCTCAAGTTCCTAGAGTTATTTACAACAAAGGGTAATGGCGTTTTAGGTAGAGCAGAAAATGGAAAGAAAGAAATAGGGAAAGGAAAGACAATTTCTCTTGTTTGGAAAATGGGAGAAATAGAAACAACAACAAACCCAATAGAATCCCATAAAAGTAGGGTATGGAGGTAAAGAAAGAAAATATAAAAAATGAGAAGAAATGAAAGTTCAAAAAAAATCTTTCTATCCTCTTATAAACTTCACATGCAACATCAAATTGATGGTTCTTGTCTTTGGCTAGAACTAAGCAGAAAATTTTACAATAGAAGAGGCAAACTCACAGTTTCAGTAGATGTTCCAAATCACCAAGTGGAGATGGAATGGAACCATTGATCTTATTGTTTGAAAGATCCCTACAATCCATTCCAAGCTTAAAGATTTAGAACACAACAAATTAGGTAAGAATGTTACTTTGGGTAAAGGAACAAACTTAACCAAAAGCTCAAGCTTATAGTTGAAGTCTCACGAATGTTATTATCCTCTAAACATGCCCCCTCACGTTCGGGCGACATTTTTTTCCTTGAGCATTGCACGTGAAATTAATTTTTTAATCTAGGTGGCGGTATGATTTGGACTCTTGACATTTTAGTCAAGAAGGCTGTGATACTGTCAACGAATGATTTTATACTTTAACATTTTAAAGCAAACATGATTACATCATGACTAAAATCTACACTTACAGTGTATCAAGATTTCCAATACGAGACAGCTCAATTGGAATGGGGCCTTTAATGTTGTTTGATGAGAGATTCCTAAAAGAATAAAAGCCATAGATCCTTAAGTATACCAAGCAATTAATTACACAACACTTAAAGTTATTAACAATAAATAGAAATAAATTCTAGTAGTATAAATACAACAGGTGCATGCATATACAAATAAGGAAAGAGAGAACTTACAGATAAGTCATACTTTCGAGCTTCTGAAATGCACGGGGAATGGTCCCACTCAATTTGTTCCCATGAGCATTGCTGTGAAAAGATTTAATGCTTTAATATCCCATTAGTGTCCACAAATATGGAGTACTGTATAAGATAATCTTGAACTCTTACAGACTGTTCAGATCTGTACACGAGCTAAGGTTTTCTGGAATGGGGCCATCAAGTCGATTGCCGGCAACATTTCTGCATCACAATATGCAAGGGCATTTTTGGAATTTCAAAATGCACCAAAGAAACCATGCAGTATTGCACAAAAATGACATACAAATCATATAATTCAGTAAGCCTCCCAAGCTCTTGAGGTATATGCCCACTAAGTTGATTGTCATTTAGTTCACTGAAAAGAAGAAAAAAATCAAGCCAACATGAATTACAAAAAGGGTAAAGAGGGCATTGAAAGCATTCGTACAGATAATGGAGCTTTGTCATATTCCCGAGCTCCGGAGGAATGGACCCACTTAGTTTGTTTCCATGCAAATACCTAAACCCAAATGATAAACTAAATGTCAATAACTGATATACCATAATTCCAGCATACAAACAACAAAAAAAAGTCAATAGAACCTCACAAAAAGTAGGGTCAAGAGGTGAACGTCCGCAGACTTTACCCCTACTTAGAAGTAGAGAGGTTGTTTTCAAGATACCCAAGCTCAAAAAAGAGAGGTACGGGCAAATAATCCACACTAGCACAAGCGAAAAGCGAGCATAGAGAAAAGTGAGAAAGAAACACATATACCAAGTCAGACAACTTAACTCAAAGCACACACACACAAAGTACAGACTAACATTTAAAAAAAAACACCAGCCAAAAGTACGAACTAAGGCTCACATGTCTATCCTACTGCTTTAATCCTAGACCTCCAAATGTTCCTATCTAAGCCCATAATCCAGCATAATGTATGAAAATTTTCTTTCTATGGTAAAAGGACAAACACTCAACTGTTAAAACAAAAAAGATCTTAGGCCACATTTGGATCAAATTGGTTGTTGGAATTCAGAAACTCAAATACTTAAGAGCATTTGGTCCAAAATGATAACATCATATTTAGCTGGGAAAAGAAATATTAAGCTGAAAAAATAACTTACAATTTCTCTGTGTAGCTTAGGTTTCCAAAAATGGGAGGAATTGATCCAGTTAGCATGTTGCAACTTAGATCCCTAAATAGGATTTGAGATAGTTAGCGACTGATACTCCATCTGTGCCGTAAAAATCTTCCTTCTTTGACTTTCACGGAGATTATGAAAAGCGTTGAAAAGTAAAACCTTTATGGTTAGAAATTGTCTAGAGGAGAGAGAAGATTTGAGAGCCACTCGTTCCTTTGTTTAAAAAGAAAGTGAAGTTGTTTTGGGACAAATGAAAAGGGAAAGAGTGAAGTTTTTTGCACAACGGATGGAGTATATTTTAACTAAATGAATAAGTGGAACAAACTAACATTATAGAAGTAATATAGTCAAGGCACTCACAAAACAGCAAGAGCCTGCATCAACCCAATCACAGATGGAATTTTCCCTGAAAGTTTATTGCCCTGCAAGGACCTGCATGAACGCATAAAAATGATATGTATACATGATCATAGTAAGGCTTTAGAACAGAAATGTTAGTCCAATATGCTCACAAGGTGGCTACTTGCAGGAATCCGATATTGAATGGTATCTCACCAGTCAACTTGTTATAGGACAGATCACTGAAAATGATATTAAAGATTAGTATACTTTGATCAAAATGGAACAGTAAACATCTCTTCTGTTGTTGTTTAGTATACTTTGATCAAAAAAAATAAAAAATAAAAAAACTTTTGAAACAATGTTAGATGTGAGGTACTTACAGGACCTGGAAAGCAGTGCAATTTCCAATCTCTTGAGGAATTGATCCAGTCAAACTGTTGTTTCGAACATCACTACCAGTAAAAAGGAATAACATGAATCAGCAGATGATAGAGTCTAATAGAATTTGATCTTCTAATATTCTAGTGTGGAACTCTAATATCAATCACCTAGGGTTGTAGTGGGCTATCGTTTGGGTTGTACTTCTTTTAAGAATAAAATAAAAAACAATCACATGAATGAAGTTAAGCGTAACTTACAAGTACCACAGCCCAGTTAGTTGGCATATATCGGATGAAAGGGTACCCACCAAGTTGTTCCCTCGCAGTCCCCTAAGAGATATTATAATGATGATGACATAGACATCCTTAAAGTAAAAACGGGACTAATGAATCAAGTGGTACTTGCATGTATATTATGCATACAAATATTGAAGAACTTCATTCCAATAGATAAGCCTCGGTATTTCTCCACTCAACTTGTTTTGTGCAAGGTCCCTGCAAGAATTATCATTTACGGAACACAAAAATCATCCACGGTTTGAATGGGAGCCTTAGGGAACCTGTTGGGGTGTTGCCGCAGTCCGCGTGACCTTAATGTCACAGGTACGAGTCCCACAAGCAGCATTTTGAACAAACGGAAAGTAAGGTCTACCTATATCACACCTTGTGGTGGCACCCTTCCCTAGACCCTTGCTAAGTATGGATTCTTTGTGCACCTCACTTACTTTTTTCACTATCTTCTTTTCAACTTGTTATTCCAATTATCTAGACTCAAGACTCCAGTTTCCAGTTAAAATATTTCTAGTTAAGAAACTCCAGACTCTAGGAACCCGACTCCAGCTAAACTAAGACGAAAAAGAACAAGGTTTTATCTAAATAACCCACAACTCATAACAAGTGAGGGATAATCAAGAATTGAATATTCACACTTACAAAACTTTTAAGTTTGGAATCTGAGACAATGTTGAAGGAATCGGGCCAATCAAGTGATTGTTTTTCAGAATCCTGGAAACCAAACAGCAGTACATTTTTTTCAAGAATTAACAAGAGGGGCAAGCAAAGAACGGAAAGAACAAAGGCACAAAGCAAAAGTATACTCACAAATACTCAAGTTGCTTTAGCTTTGAAATAGAGAATGGAATGTCTCCATACAGCTCATTGAATGACAGGTCCCTATGGTTAGTAGGGAAACAATTTAGTACGGAGTAATTCCTAAGATAATTACCAGAAAAGGCTTAAACCATTCTACGCATTAAATGCCACAAACAATGGTAAGGCCATCTCTAACCCTTTACACCATTTTTTACCAAAAGTATATACATAATCTCTTGAAGACGTCTCATTACCCTGCTTCGCTCACCAAATGGGCCCTTAACGAAAAAATGTCACATCATTAGGGCTTGTCTAATTTCAAGCACTACTTACAAGCTTATCAGAGACGAACAATCACCAATTTCATCAGGAATCTGTCCTGAAAGTCTGTTCTGCTTCAGATCACTTTCCATATAACAAAACAAAAAAAAGCATTTCAACTTGGCATTAATTCATATTTCATGCAATAGACATTATTACATAAAATCTTACTTCAAAAATAGACCTAAAAGAGAATATGGCTTTACATGGACACTAGGCTTTTCAGCTTCCCTATTGCTGGAGACAACTCACCATCCATATTCAGACCTGATAGATTCCTACAGTAAAAATGAATCCTCAAATCACAATTTTGGACTCAAAGTGCCCAGAGAATATACTCAAAGTGACACCAAAATAGAAAAGCTCAATCATACTGAGTATACTCCTACACATTGATAATGGTCAGGCCACTATGATGAAGCTAGAAAGTTTCCACTTTTAGTCCCACTACAATTGTGTCATTTCCACTTCTAGTCCCCCAGGGTGTTAATTGTTGCCAAATTTGTCATAATTTCTATATAAACAAAATTGTCTATTTGATGGCCAAATAGAAAGATTAAAGAGTGACAAGACATCCATTGAATTGCACCAGTTCTTTAAAAAAAATTGCCAAAAGTATAATGAATTGAAGTGGAATTTTTTCTTGAAAATGTCAATATTTAGATTCTTGGTAAAAAAAAGCTTATGATGAGCCATTTTGAGATTATAACTTTATTTATTTTTAAAAAATAAAAAATAAAAAAAGGGATAATGGAAATGGTATTACTCACAGTGCTGCAACATTGAAGGTGAAATTGTCACAAGTAACACCTCTCCAAGAACAGTAGTCTGAAGAAGGTGAGTCGGTCCAGTCATACAATATATTGTCAACGTCCCTAATTGACTTCTTAATCTCCAACAAAGCAAGCCCTTTATCCACAATTAAAGCAAAAAAAAAGACCCATTAATCACAGCGAAGGTACTAATAGAACAGAACACCCTTTTTAAATAAGACAAGAACAAAACAAGAAACAGTAATTTCCAAAGCACAATTAGGTCATTTAAAGAAAAGAAATCGAAATTATTGACACAGATAAACAAAGGGAGAATCTTAACAGTAATTACTGTGTAAAACTACCAAAACAAAACATTCAAAAACCCAAATATTCAACTCGTGACTCACCATCATCCGACTCAGCAGAAGAAACAAAGCTCAAGAACAACGAGATAGACAATATGAGAAGCAGAGCTTGAGAGGATAATGGCACCATTTTTCGGTGCCAAAAGAGGAAAAAGATCGACCCTTTCAAGCTCTGAAGGAGAGAAAGAAAGAAAGAAACTATTTTTAAAAATAAATAAAAACTCAGTTGTCGAAGCCCAGACTCTGCAGTGTTGGAGCTATGGAGTGAGTGGTGGGGGAATGTCTTGTTGAGTAAAACTGTCTTGTACACATTGAGAAAGGTGGGTTCTTTGAGGCAGAAGAGAAGAGAGAGAGAGAGAGAGAGAGAGTAAAAGTCTGATGCATGGGCCTCTGAATTTCTCTCAGCTTCTTCTCCCACTTTTGCTAGAGTGCCAAAGAATGAGATTAAAACTTGGAGTTCAAATATTGGAGTTAAAATAGCATTTTTGTTGGGAATATGAGGTTCATTTTTTCAACCATGCTACACTTACACCAAAAGTATACACTAATATTTTGATGATTCACACTAGTACAAAATGCTAGTATATAAATAAAAAATTATGCTAATATTTTGTGTTTGTGTGAACTATCATCCAAACATAATGCCCACGCAAAATGAAGAGGTTTCTAAAAAGAAAAAAAAAAAAGAATAAAAATAGTCCTTATCTGTAAAAGGCGTCCTCCTCCTCCCACGCACTCACCAGTCACCACGTCATTTCCTCCATTTTCCGAGAAAACAAAAAAGTTAAACCAATTTTGGGTTACAAGTTACCATAAATAATTCATACCTTCCTAATTAGTACTCCCTCCGTTCCTAAATATTTGCGATATTTGTATTCCCGAAGTAAAATATCAAATTTTTTCAATTCATTTTATTTACATATTGGTATAGAAATAAAAAATAAAATTCACATATAAAAAAACTATATAAAAAGTTCTTCGAAATAAGAGGTGTCAAGAATATTTTATTTTATCAAATAACCAATGAAAACGTCGAAATAAACAAAAGTTCCCACGACTGCTGAAAAAGCAAATGTTGTGAATATTTAGAGACGGAGTTAGTATGTCATTTTTTAAAATAATATTTAAATTCTTTTATTTTCTAAATACTATTTAAATAATGTCTAAAGATGAAGGACATTTAGATTGAAAAATGTGCAGCATCGGTGGACATTACTTAAACAATACCTTGTGGTATTATATTGAAAAATAAAAACATATGATACTACAGTGGAAAAATTATTATGTTTTACTACTATTTAGGTAAATCTTCTAAATTATTTATCCTTTTCTCAATGATGTACAAAAACAATGAAAAAACGGCCATATATAAAAAGTATATTAAAAATTCTAAAGAGCTACATATTTTATTTTATTAAATAATTAATAAATATACGAATACAAACAAAAATTATCAGAATGTCAACGTCAGTGCCTCGTCGTCTCTCCATTAATGTCCATTGTGCATGATTTAATGACTTCCGTGGTTTAACTCTAATAATGTCCAATATCGTTGTTAATGTCTACATGTCCATTATCAAGACATTATAACAATTATAAGTGTCCAGATCATTAGTCATTAATGTTCTCGGTCAATAAACAACATCCATATTTTTTACATGGTCTCATATCCATAATTTTTACAATGTCCCAGATTATTGAACAATATCCATAATTTTTACAATGTCTGTTAAAAGAAAATACTAGCAAACGAATCCAGAAAAGAGAGAATCGATCAAATGTATAAAAAAATATACTGTATATTTTATATAGAATACAAAATAATTAAGATACAGAAGTGTTTTAGCAAATAGATATTATTAATAATTAATGAGTTAATTAATTTAATGTTAGTTTTGGAAGAAAAAATTGTTCGATGCCATTTAGAGAAAAGTGTGTGGTTTTGGTGCTGCTTGGAGAAAATTTCACTCGGTATAGGAATTAAAAAATATATATAACTTGCACATTTAAAATTACATTAAAAACTCTACAAATTTAGTGGTGTTGTTCCTTTTTTAATAAAATAATCAATGAAAATATTTCCATGTGCAAACAAAAATTATCAATAGTGCAATATTCTAACTAGGTCAAATAATTTGGGACAAATGAGGTATATATAGCAAGTTAAGATTATACCCAAATTAAGTTTTTAAGGGTGATGATAGTCACACTCTGCTCAAACACTAAAGTCACTCCACACACTAAGGCCTTGTTTGGATAACAGATTTTCGGATAATTTTTGACACCTTTGACTCACTTTGATTTTTTTGACTAAGCAAGCAGCCAGAATCATTGTTTGGCTAATGACTTTTTCATTTGACATTTTGATCCGAAAAGCCAAAATCTGAAAAGTCAAGGCGAGTAGCTTTTGGACTTGGCTGTTAGGAAAATTAAATTTTTTAAAATCATTTTTCTTGAAAGATATTTTATAATATATGTAAAAAAAATAAAAATAAAAGTTAAAAAAATTCAAAACTAAAAAAATAAAATTTAAAATTTAAAAATTTCATAAAAAAAGGAGATGAGAAAATAAAAAGTAAATATATTTAAAAAGTTATGTAGTAATAATTTCTTATGAATTAAATTAAAGTAAAATTTAATACTCCATATAGTAAATATTTAATTTTTACGTGTAAAAAATGAAAAACAAATATTGTGTGTCTATATATATATATATATATATATATATATTCTTACTTTATTAAAATTATAAAGAAAATGGAGGGGAGAAAATGATATTTTCTCTTTATTGGTTGAAGTGAGGAAAGTGGGGAGAAGAGAAAAAAGAGATGAATTTTATTTAAAAAAATTCTCACCACTTAATGGAGAAAAAAGAAGTGTAAAAGAATGAAAAGACTATTATATTCTTTACAATAATGGATACTTATTTTTTATTAGGGTGTAAAATAATTTTATTATATTAGCCTTTCTTTGTTTTCACTTTTCTACTTGATCAAACAAGGGAAATGAATTCTACATTTTCGTTCTTTCATTTTCAATTCATCCAAACAACAAATTTTCTTTCCTTTCATATTTTTCCTCTAATTTTTTCTCCCCATTTTCTTTTATGATCCAAACAATGGCTAAAATGGTGAAGGTTGTGAGATTCATTTTTGGAGGAGTTTGTATGAAACAAAAAAAGATCATTTAGAATAGAAACCAAACAAAACCATTTATTGAATAGGAATATTGTCCGATCAAAAGACTCAGTAAAGTCTCTTCGAACTTCTCATGGAGTCATACCTCTTCGCCTTCTCCGTTCTAAGTCTTCATTATAAAAACTGCATTTCCTTTCATTACTCCATTCATAGCTTCACTCCCAAAATCCCATAATACCCATTAATTATTTGATTCAATTCACAAATTACTTCGTCTTCGATTCCCCTTCTGTACTGCAAATGGCCTCCGCCACCGCTTCTTCCCTCGCACTTTTCGCAGCTCCGGTCGCCCTCACGGCGGCTCCGGCCAAGCTTTCATCTTCTTCTACTTCTCTGAAACCTTTTAATAACCCCATCAAAAGTGGTTCTTTTCTCTCCCTCGCCGCCGCCCCTTCCAAAAGATCCCTTTTTGCCGTCAAGAACCAATCCGAATCATCTTCTTCTTCAATGGGTATTTTTCTAACTCTGTTTTCTTTAAAAATTTGTTTTTTTCATGTGGGGTTTCTTTAATGAAATTTGGTTACAGTTGTAATGATTTCTTTCCATAAATCCAGCAAATCGTGATAAGGAGGTTCAGGAGCTTTATGTGTACGAGATCAACGAGCGCGATCGCCGGAGCCCGGCGTATCTCCGGCTTAGCTACAACAAGGTGAACTCACTCGGCGACCTCGTCCCCTTCACCAACAAGCTCTACTCCGGCGACTTGCAGAAGCGGGTCGGGATCACCGCCGGGATCTGCATTCTGATCTCCCACGAGGAGGCGAAGGGCGGCGACCGTTACGAGGCGGTCTACAGCTTCTACTTCGGCGATTACGGGAGCCTCGCCGTGCAGGGGCCGTACCTGACGTACGAGGAGTCTTATCTGGCCGTCACCGGCGGGACGGGGATCTTTGAAGGGGTTTCCGGGCAGGTGAAACTGCAGCAGCTGGTGTACCCCTTCAAGCTCTTTTATACGTTTTACTTGAAGGGTATCAAGGATTTGCCGGCGGAGTTGACCGGAACACCTGTTCCTCCGACGCCGACCGTTGAGCCTTCTCCGGCGGCCAAGGCTTGTGAGCCCGGTGCTACCATTCCTAATTTTACCAATTAGTTTGTTCTATCTCTTTTTTGTATTTTATTTATTTTTGCGACAAAAAGAAATTCAATTATTTTACGGAGTAGTAACTTATTATTGCTCCCTACCTTATGAGGATGAATAAAATGGAGGCCACCTTCATTCGTATTTAATGGTGTTTTTATGTGCTTTTAAGTACTCTTTTTCTTTTTGAATATTTGTTTATTTTTATTTTCTTTATTAAAAATTGGTAAATCTTAGCTTGATCCTAATTAAAATAAAAATGATTGTATATATTGATACAAAAGTAGTTTTATAGAATTTATTACATTAGATATTTTTCAATTATTATTTTATCTAATTAGTAAAAAATATTTATATTTTATTTAATTATAAATTAAAGGTAAAAATAGTTGATATATTTTTATGTACTTAAGGTGACTAATTAATGAGTAATTTATAAGTTAGAAAGATACGTAGAGTGTAATATTTAATTTTAGGTTACTTATTCTCATTTCATATATAGTTTGCATAAATTATTTACTAAATTGTTCTTTCACTATTCATGAACATTCTTAAATGATTTATTTATCTTTTTAAGGATATATTTACAAAACCGTCTTCTCGTGATTATATCTATTCTCACCATTTACTTGGCTAAAGAAATATTTTACTTATAAATCGTTTATAAGTTAGAATATGTTTACTTCTAAAGACTTGTTTTTGTATTGTATTAACAAAAAGTTTAGTTTTGTATTTATATCTCGGGGACAAGACTTGTTTTTTGTGGTATTAACAAACGTGTTTGTCAAGTTTTGTTTGGTTATTCTGATATGAACTCATATTCGATAGGAAAGACATAGAGCGTCTTCAAATTTTTGAGAATATGGGACGGGGAAGAAGAAGAAGAATTGAGATGAAGAGAATCGGCGAACCGAGAGAGAGGGGATCAGGGTTTTGTTTTGTTTATTGATTGGTTATTCTAAATGAGGTTACATCTCAGGAGACAAGGAGACCCTAGCTAACCATAAACTAACCTGATGGTTCAATAAAAGTGACGAGAAAAAAAACCGTAAAGAAATCTCACCTAATAATTTCTCTCACCTAATAAAACCTAAATTACAATAATAATAATACTAAATATCATACTCTACTATCCATAACATATTCATAATCAACTTTGTTTGTGAAATATGATATTTTTTAATGTCTATAAACTGACCAAATTATTTATAATTTATTTTTAATGTATAAATTAGTTGATGATGTTTTATATATGCTTATAAAGTGACTTACAAGTTATTTATAAGTAAAAAATTATTTAGGTCTTATTTAATTATTTTTAAATGAGGTTTTCTATTTTTCGTTTTGAATGGAAAATTGGCTTTAAAATAAGTAAATAATATTTACTTATTTTTATGAATGTTCAAAAATCTCTCATTTAAGATCATTTTACTTTCATGAAAGGATATTTTACTTATATTTAGTTTATAAGTTAAAAATTACTTATCAGATATAATTTAGTAAATATCAGTATAGAAAACATTAGTAATACTTGGTGAATAAAAAATATACTCCTTCCGTTCAACAATGATCTTCTTATTGCGCGTTACGATAGATGTTTGATTGAAGTTATTTTTAAAGTATTTCATCTGAATAATGATCTGGAACTAAAAAAATAAAAATTACATATTAAAAAACTACATTAAAAGATCAATAGAAATCATCCTAAATACGACTAAAACATAGAGAAAAAAACTAAAATAAAGTTTTCATGTTCTTTTTCCCGAAATAGGACTTTGTACTGTGGTAATGTGGCATTCTACATGTGTGTTTTTTGGTAATGTATATGACCATATTTTGTAATGTAAGTCTTATTTTGAGAATAAAAACATGAAAGTCCTATTTTGGTATGTTTTCAATGTTTTAGTCCTACTTTACTCTTTCTCCCAAAGATCAACAAAACTAGAAGTGATATGACTATTATTTGATCAAATAAACTTCAAAAATAGACTAACGCAGTATGGAAAGATTATTTTCGAATGAAGAGAGTAATAGGTTTTGAATTTTGATGTAGTAGAAAATGTTTTTTTGGTTTGGATGGAAAAGTGAAAAGAGAAAAACACATTAAAAGAAAGGAAAAACACATTAAAATAGACTAACGCAGTGAAGAAGAAGATGATTCGAAAATAATTTTCCTAGAAGAAATAGACTAACGCAGTGAAGAAGAAAGGAAAAACACATTAAAATATTTTAATGTGTTTTATACATATATAAAACATCATCAACTAATTTATACATTAAAAATAAATTATAAATAATTTGGTCAGTTTATAGACATTAAAAAATATCATATTTCACAAACAAAGTTGATTATGAATATGTTATGGATAGTAGAGTATGATATTTAGTATTATTATTATTGTAATTTAGGTTTTATTAGGTGAGAGAAATTATTAGGTGAGATTTCTTTACGGTTTTTTTTCTCGTCACTTTTATTGAACCATCAGGTTAGTTTATGGTTAGCTAGGGTCTCCTTGTCTCCTGAGATGTAACCTCATTTAGAATAACCAATCAATAAACAAAACAAAACCCTGATCCCCTCTCTCTCGGTTCGCCGATTCTCTTCATCTCAATTCTTCTTCTTCTTCCCCGTCCCATATTCTCAAAAATTTGAAGACGCTCTATGTCTTTCCTATCGAATATGAGTTCATATCAGAATAACCAAACAAAACTTGACAAACACGTTTGTTAATACCACAAAAAACAAGTCTTGTCCCCGAGATATAAATACAAAACTAAACTTTTTGTTAATACAATACAAAAACAAGTCTTTAGAAGTAAACATATTCTAACTTATAAACGATTTATAAGTAAAATATTTCTTTAGCCAAGTAAATGGTGAGAATAGATATAATCACGAGAAGACGGTTTTGTAAATATATCCTTAAAAAGATAAATAAATCATTTAAGAATGTTCATGAATAGTGAAAGAACAATTTAGTAAATAATTTATGCAAACTATATATGAAATGAGAATAAGTAACCTAAAATTAAATATTACACTCTACGTATCTTTCTAACTTATAAATTACTCATTAATTAGTCACCTTAAGTACATAAAAATATATCAACTATTTTTACCTTTAATTTATAATTAAATAAAATATAAATATTTTTTACTAATTAGATAAAATAATAATTGAAAAATATCTAATGTAATAAATTCTATAAAACTACTTTTGTATCAATATATACAATCATTTTTATTTTAATTAGGATCAAGCTAAGATTTACCAATTTTTAATAAAGAAAATAAAAATAAACAAATATTCAAAAAGAAAAAGAGTACTTAAAAGCACATAAAAACACCATTAAATACGAATGAAGGTGGCCTCCATTTTATTCATCCTCATAAGGTAGGGAGCAATAATAAGTTACTACTCCGTAAAATAATTGAATTTCTTTTTGTCGCAAAAATAAATAAAATACAAAAAAGAGATAGAACAAACTAATTGGTAAAATTAGGAATGGTAGCACCGGGCTCACAAGCCTTGGCCGCCGGAGAAGGCTCAACGGTCGGCGTCGGAGGAACAGGTGTTCCGGTCAACTCCGCCGGCAAATCCTTGATACCCTTCAAGTAAAACGTATAAAAGAGCTTGAAGGGGTACACCAGCTGCTGCAGTTTCACCTGCCCGGAAACCCCTTCAAAGATCCCCGTCCCGCCGGTGACGGCCAGATAAGACTCCTCGTACGTCAGGTACGGCCCCTGCACGGCGAGGCTCCCGTAATCGCCGAAGTAGAAGCTGTAGACCGCCTCGTAACGGTCGCCGCCCTTCGCCTCCTCGTGGGAGATCAGAATGCAGATCCCGGCGGTGATCCCGACCCGCTTCTGCAAGTCGCCGGAGTAGAGCTTGTTGGTGAAGGGGACGAGGTCGCCGAGTGAGTTCACCTTGTTGTAGCTAAGCCGGAGATACGCCGGGCTCCGGCGATCGCGCTCGTTGATCTCGTACACATAAAGCTCCTGAACCTCCTTATCACGATTTGCTGGATTTATGGAAAGAAATCATTACAACTGTAACCAAATTTCATTAAAGAAACCCCACATGAAAAAAACAAATTTTTAAAGAAAACAGAGTTAGAAAAATACCCATTGAAGAAGAAGATGATTCGGATTGGTTCTTGACGGCAAAAAGGGATCTTTTGGAAGGGGCGGCGGCGAGGGAGAGAAAAGAACCACTTTTGATGGGGTTATTAAAAGGTTTCAGAGAAGTAGAAGAAGATGAAAGCTTGGCCGGAGCCGCCGTGAGGGCGACCGGAGCTGCGAAAAGTGCGAGGGAAGAAGCGGTGGCGGAGGCCATTTGCAGTACAGAAGGGGAATCGAAGACGAAGTAATTTGTGAATTGAATCAAATAATTAATGGGTATTATGGGATTTTGGGAGTGAAGCTATGAATGGAGTAATGAAAGGAAATGCAGTTTTTATAATGAAGACTTAGAACGGAGAAGGCGAAGAGGTATGACTCCATGAGAAGTTCGAAGAGACTTTACTGAGTCTTTTGATCGGACAATATTCCTATTCAATAAATGGTTTTGTTTGGTTTCTATTCTAAATGATCTTTTTTTGTTTCATACAAACTCCTCCAAAAATGAATCTCACAACCTTCACCATTTTAGCCATTGTTTGGATCATAAAAGAAAATGGGGAGAAAAAATTAGAGGAAAAATATGAAAGGAAAGAAAATTTGTTGTTTGGATGAATTGAAAATGAAAGAACGAAAATGTAGAATTCATTTCCCTTGTTTGATCAAGTAGAAAAGTGAAAACAAAGAAAGGCTAATATAATAAAATTATTTTACACCCTAATAAAAAATAAGTATCCATTATTGTAAAGAATATAATAGTCTTTTCATTCTTTTACACTTCTTTTTTCTCCATTAAGTGGTGAGAATTTTTTTAAATAAAATTCATCTCTTTTTTCTCTTCTCCCCACTTTCCTCACTTCAACCAATAAAGAGAAAATATCATTTTCTCCCCTCCATTTTCTTTATAATTTTAATAAAGTAAGAATATATATATATATATATATATATATATAGACACACAATATTTGTTTTTCATTTTTTACACGTAAAAATTAAATATTTACTATATGGAGTATTAAATTTTACTTTAATTTAATTCATAAGAAATTATTACTACATAACTTTTTAAATATATTTACTTTTTATTTTCTCATCTCCTTTTTTTATGAAATTTTTAAATTTTAAATTTTATTTTTTTAGTTTTGAATTTTTTTAACTTTTATTTTTATTTTTTTTACATATATTATAAAATATCTTTCAAGAAAAATGATTTTAAAAAATTTAATTTTCCTAACAGCCAAGTCCAAAAGCTACTCGCCTTGACTTTTCAGATTTTGGCTTTTCGGATCAAAATGTCAAATGAAAAAGTCATTAGCCAAACAATGATTCTGGCTGCTTGCTTAGTCAAAAAAATCAAAGTGAGTCAAAGGTGTCAAAAATTATCCGAAAATCTGTTATCCAAACAAGGCCTTAGTGTGTGGAGTGACTTTAGTGTTTGAGCAGAGTGTGACTATCATCACCCTTAAAAACTTAATTTGGGTATAATCTTAACTTGCTATATATACCTCATTTGTCCCAAATTATTTGACCTAGTTAGAATATTGCACTATTGATAATTTTTGTTTGCACATGGAAATATTTTCATTGATTATTTTATTAAAAAAGGAACAACACCACTAAATTTGTAGAGTTTTTAATGTAATTTTAAATGTGCAAGTTATATATATTTTTTAATTCCTATACCGAGTGAAATTTTCTCCAAGCAGCACCAAAACCACACACTTTTCTCTAAATGGCATCGAACAATTTTTTCTTCCAAAACTAACATTAAATTAATTAACTCATTAATTATTAATAATATCTATTTGCTAAAACACTTCTGTATCTTAATTATTTTGTATTCTATATAAAATATACAGTATATTTTTTTATACATTTGATCGATTCTCTCTTTTCTGGATTCGTTTGCTAGTATTTTCTTTTAACAGACATTGTAAAAATTATGGATATTGTTCAATAATCTGGGACATTGTAAAAATTATGGATATGAGACCATGTAAAAAATATGGATGTTGTTTATTGACCGAGAACATTAATGACTAATGATCTGGACACTTATAATTGTTATAATGTCTTGATAATGGACATGTAGACATTAACAACGATATTGGACATTATTAGAGTTAAACCACGGAAGTCATTAAATCATGCACAATGGACATTAATGGAGAGACGACGAGGCACTGACGTTGACATTCTGATAATTTTTGTTTGTATTCGTATATTTATTAATTATTTAATAAAATAAAATATGTAGCTCTTTAGAATTTTTAATATACTTTTTATATATGGCCGTTTTTTCATTGTTTTTGTACATCATTGAGAAAAGGATAAATAATTTAGAAGATTTACCTAAATAGTAGTAAAACATAATAATTTTTCCACTGTAGTATCATATGTTTTTATTTTTCAATATAATACCACAAGGTATTGTTTAAGTAATGTCCACCGATGCTGCACATTTTTCAATCTAAATGTCCTTCATCTTTAGACATTATTTAAATAGTATTTAGAAAATAAAAGAATTTAAATATTATTTTAAAAAATGACATACTAACTCCGTCTCTAAATATTCACAACATTTGCTTTTTCAGCAGTCGTGGGAACTTTTGTTTATTTCGACGTTTTCATTGGTTATTTGATAAAATAAAATATTCTTGACACCTCTTATTTCGAAGAACTTTTTATATAGTTTTTTTATATGTGAATTTTATTTTTTATTTCTATACCAATATGTAAATAAAATGAATTGAAAAAATTTGATATTTTACTTCGGGAATACAAATATCGCAAATATTTAGGAACGGAGGGAGTACTAATTAGGAAGGTATGAATTATTTATGGTAACTTGTAACCCAAAATTGGTTTAACTTTTTTGTTTTCTCGGAAAATGGAGGAAATGACGTGGTGACTGGTGAGTGCGTGGGAGGAGGAGGACGCCTTTTACAGATAAGGACTATTTTTATTCTTTTTTTTTTTTCTTTTTAGAAACCTCTTCATTTTGCGTGGGCATTATGTTTGGATGATAGTTCACACAAACACAAAATATTAGCATAATTTTTTATTTATATACTAGCATTTTGTACTAGTGTGAATCATCAAAATATTAGTGTATACTTTTGGTGTAAGTGTAGCATGGTTGAAAAAATGAACCTCATATTCCCAACAAAAATGCTATTTTAACTCCAATATTTGAACTCCAAGTTTTAATCTCATTCTTTGGCACTCTAGCAAAAGTGGGAGAAGAAGCTGAGAGAAATTCAGAGGCCCATGCATCAGACTTTTACTCTCTCTCTCTCTCTCTCTCTCTTCTCTTCTGCCTCAAAGAACCCACCTTTCTCAATGTGTACAAGACAGTTTTACTCAACAAGACATTCCCCCACCACTCACTCCATAGCTCCAACACTGCAGAGTCTGGGCTTCGACAACTGAGTTTTTATTTATTTTTAAAAATAGTTTCTTTCTTTCTTTCTCTCCTTCAGAGCTTGAAAGGGTCGATCTTTTTCCTCTTTTGGCACCGAAAAATGGTGCCATTATCCTCTCAAGCTCTGCTTCTCATATTGTCTATCTCGTTGTTCTTGAGCTTTGTTTCTTCTGCTGAGTCGGATGATGGTGAGTCACGAGTTGAATATTTGGGTTTTTGAATGTTTTGTTTTGGTAGTTTTACACAGTAATTACTGTTAAGATTCTCCCTTTGTTTATCTGTGTCAATAATTTCGATTTCTTTTCTTTAAATGACCTAATTGTGCTTTGGAAATTACTGTTTCTTGTTTTGTTCTTGTCTTATTTAAAAAGGGTGTTCTGTTCTATTAGTACCTTCGCTGTGATTAATGGGTCTTTTTTTTTGCTTTAATTGTGGATAAAGGGCTTGCTTTGTTGGAGATTAAGAAGTCAATTAGGGACGTTGACAATATATTGTATGACTGGACCGACTCACCTTCTTCAGACTACTGTTCTTGGAGAGGTGTTACTTGTGACAATTTCACCTTCAATGTTGCAGCACTGTGAGTAATACCATTTCCATTATCCCTTTTTTTATTTTTTATTTTTTAAAAATAAATAAAGTTATAATCTCAAAATGGCTCATCATAAGCTTTTTTTTACCAAGAATCTAAATATTGACATTTTCAAGAAAAAATTCCACTTCAATTCATTATACTTTTGGCAATTTTTTTTAAAGAACTGGTGCAATTCAATGGATGTCTTGTCACTCTTTAATCTTTCTATTTGGCCATCAAATAGACAATTTTGTTTATATAGAAATTATGACAAATTTGGCAACAATTAACACCCTGGGGGACTAGAAGTGGAAATGACACAATTGTAGTGGGACTAAAAGTGGAAACTTTCTAGCTTCATCATAGTGGCCTGACCATTATCAATGTGTAGGAGTATACTCAGTATGATTGAGCTTTTCTATTTTGGTGTCACTTTGAGTATATTCTCTGGGCACTTTGAGTCCAAAATTGTGATTTGAGGATTCATTTTTACTGTAGGAATCTATCAGGTCTGAATATGGATGGTGAGTTGTCTCCAGCAATAGGGAAGCTGAAAAGCCTAGTGTCCATGTAAAGCCATATTCTCTTTTAGGTCTATTTTTGAAGTAAGATTTTATGTAATAATGTCTATTGCATGAAATATGAATTAATGCCAAGTTGAAATGCTTTTTTTTGTTTTGTTATATGGAAAGTGATCTGAAGCAGAACAGACTTTCAGGACAGATTCCTGATGAAATTGGTGATTGTTCGTCTCTGATAAGCTTGTAAGTAGTGCTTGAAATTAGACAAGCCCTAATGATGTGACATTTTTTCGTTAAGGGCCCATTTGGTGAGCGAAGCAGGGTAATGAGACGTCTTCAAGAGATTATGTATATACTTTTGGTAAAAAATGGTGTAAAGGGTTAGAGATGGCCTTACCATTGTTTGTGGCATTTAATGCGTAGAATGGTTTAAGCCTTTTCTGGTAATTATCTTAGGAATTACTCCGTACTAAATTGTTTCCCTACTAACCATAGGGACCTGTCATTCAATGAGCTGTATGGAGACATTCCATTCTCTATTTCAAAGCTAAAGCAACTTGAGTATTTGTGAGTATACTTTTGCTTTGTGCCTTTGTTCTTTCCGTTCTTTGCTTGCCCCTCTTGTTAATTCTTGAAAAAAATGTACTGCTGTTTGGTTTCCAGGATTCTGAAAAACAATCACTTGATTGGCCCGATTCCTTCAACATTGTCTCAGATTCCAAACTTAAAAGTTTTGTAAGTGTGAATATTCAATTCTTGATTATCCCTCACTTGTTATGAGTTGTGGGTTATTTAGATAAAACCTTGTTCTTTTTCGTCTTAGTTTAGCTGGAGTCGGGTTCCTAGAGTCTGGAGTTTCTTAACTAGAAATATTTTAACTGGAAACTGGAGTCTTGAGTCTAGATAATTGGAATAACAAGTTGAAAAGAAGATAGTGAAAAAAGTAAGTGAGGTGCACAAAGAATCCATACTTAGCAAGGGTCTAGGGAAGGGTGCCACCACAAGGTGTGATATAGGTAGACCTTACTTTCCGTTTGTTCAAAATGCTGCTTGTGGGACTCGTACCTGTGACATTAAGGTCACGCGGACTGCGGCAACACCCCAACAGGTTCCCTAAGGCTCCCATTCAAACCGTGGATGATTTTTGTGTTCCGTAAATGATAATTCTTGCAGGGACCTTGCACAAAACAAGTTGAGTGGAGAAATACCGAGGCTTATCTATTGGAATGAAGTTCTTCAATATTTGTATGCATAATATACATGCAAGTACCACTTGATTCATTAGTCCCGTTTTTACTTTAAGGATGTCTATGTCATCATCATTATAATATCTCTTAGGGGACTGCGAGGGAACAACTTGGTGGGTACCCTTTCATCCGATATATGCCAACTAACTGGGCTGTGGTACTTGTAAGTTACGCTTAACTTCATTCATGTGATTGTTTTTTATTTTATTCTTAAAAGAAGTACAACCCAAACGATAGCCCACTACAACCCTAGGTGATTGATATTAGAGTTCCACACTAGAATATTAGAAGATCAAATTCTATTAGACTCTATCATCTGCTGATTCATGTTATTCCTTTTTACTGGTAGTGATGTTCGAAACAACAGTTTGACTGGATCAATTCCTCAAGAGATTGGAAATTGCACTGCTTTCCAGGTCCTGTAAGTACCTCACATCTAACATTGTTTCAAAAGTTTTTTTATTTTTTATTTTTTTTGATCAAAGTATACTAAACAACAACAGAAGAGATGTTTACTGTTCCATTTTGATCAAAGTATACTAATCTTTAATATCATTTTCAGTGATCTGTCCTATAACAAGTTGACTGGTGAGATACCATTCAATATCGGATTCCTGCAAGTAGCCACCTTGTGAGCATATTGGACTAACATTTCTGTTCTAAAGCCTTACTATGATCATGTATACATATCATTTTTATGCGTTCATGCAGGTCCTTGCAGGGCAATAAACTTTCAGGGAAAATTCCATCTGTGATTGGGTTGATGCAGGCTCTTGCTGTTTTGTGAGTGCCTTGACTATATTACTTCTATAATGTTAGTTTGTTCCACTTATTCATTTAGTTAAAATATACTCCATCCGTTGTGCAAAAAACTTCACTCTTTCCCTTTTCATTTGTCCCAAAACAACTTCACTTTCTTTTTAAACAAAGGAACGAGTGGCTCTCAAATCTTCTCTCTCCTCTAGACAATTTCTAACCATAAAGGTTTTACTTTTCAACGCTTTTCATAATCTCCGTGAAAGTCAAAGAAGGAAGATTTTTACGGCACAGATGGAGTATCAGTCGCTAACTATCTCAAATCCTATTTAGGGATCTAAGTTGCAACATGCTAACTGGATCAATTCCTCCCATTTTTGGAAACCTAAGCTACACAGAGAAATTGTAAGTTATTTTTTCAGCTTAATATTTCTTTTCCCAGCTAAATATGATGTTATCATTTTGGACCAAATGCTCTTAAGTATTTGAGTTTCTGAATTCCAACAACCAATTTGATCCAAATGTGGCCTAAGATCTTTTTTGTTTTAACAGTTGAGTTTAAAAAAATGTTCAAATTGAATAATGGTATGTTTGGAAACATGGATTTGAATTTCAAATCCGGATTTGGCTTAAATTCTATGTTTGAGAAACATAAAAATTTTAAATTTGGATTTGAATCAAAATCTTATCATTCTTAACAAAGTTTAATTTGAAATCCATGCACCTCCCATTGTCATTTGAAATTCAAGATTTCAAATTTTGGAATTGAAATGGATGAATTGAAATGAAATGCTAGTTGCCAAACACTACCTAAATGAATTTGAAATAGGTGCCCGTTACATGCCTGACCCCTCCGAGCGGCAAGATAGTTTTTTTCTCTTCCATTTAAAATGGGTAAATTTACTAAAATATCACTAAAATATACGAGTAGTTAATTTCCGTATATAGCATCACAAGTTTAATTTCCTTAACTAGTATCTAATCAATTTATTATTAAGTTTAGTTACTAAAATGCCCTTTAGATTATTTTATATAAAGGAAAAAAAGTCCTTTTTATGATTTTACATTAAAAAGAAAATATAAGCAAACGAATCAAGGAAAGAGAAAATTGGTCAAATGGAGAAAAAATATAGTGTATATTTTATATGGAGTACAAGATAATTAAGATATAAGGGTGTTTTAGTAAATTGATATTATTAATAATTATTGAATTAATTAATTTAATGTTAGTTTTGGAAAAATAATTGTTTGGTGCCATTGGAAGAAAAGTGTGTAGTTTTGGTGCTACTTGGAGCAATTTTCACTTGCAAATGCTCTAACGATTGCGACCCGTGCTCTAACGATTGCGACCCGTGTAAAATCTTATTTCTTTAGAAATAATTTTATTTACAAATCGGTATGTATGTGTATATGTATGTATGTATATATATATACACACACACACACGGTAAGTTTAAAATGACACCAATGCTACTGGTGTCATTTTACAAACGGAGCACCGTAGGTATATTAAACAAACTGATGTAATCAACTGGTGTATAAGTAACTGGTGTCATTTTAGACGTTCCCATATATATATATATATATATATACACACACACACACACACACACATGCATATATATATATATATATATATATATATATATATATATATGCATGTATATATATATGGCTTTGTTTGGTAACAGCGTTTTTTATTAGCGTTAGCGTTTTAGATAAAATTTTAACGGTGCAGATTAATTCTGAAAACGCTAGCGATAAAAGCTACCGTCGGATAGTTTTTACAAAACACTAACGCTAATCTCTGACGCTGATACCAAATGGGCCATATATGTATATATGTATGTATGTATAATTTTCATATTTAAAAATTATATTAAAAGGTCTACAAATGTAGTGGTCATCAGTATCCATTTATTAAGTAGGGATGTTCGAGGAGGCACGGTCTCTCACCCTTTTCTTAACTTCCTATGACACCATAAAAAATGTGACAAATGCCCCATATACTCCTCTATCCTACTCTAAGGTGAGTTTGTATTAAATGAGGTGTGAGATGTGTTAATTTATTTGGGTTGGCGCAAACATATTAATAATATTTGACATCCAACCCAGCAGCCCATTTACTCAAGCCCAACCTTTATTCCTAACCTAATTAAGCTTACCTTAATTAGCTCCTAAATCTCTACTATAAATTGAGGCTTCCCCTTTGTGTTTCTTCACCGTGAAAAATATCCCTTCTCTTTGTGAGTTCTTTGTGTGATATTTCTCTTCCTCTGTGAGTTCATCTCAGTTCTTCTCCGTTTCTTTGTGAGTGGAGTGTGGCGAGGTTGGGTTGGGGTGTTGCTCCTTTTGGTACCCTTGTAGTGCACAACTGCGGACTGATTTTTACGGGTGACCTAAGCCTAATCGAAATAAATAAATACACATAACAGTGGTATCGGAGCCTGGTTTGTGCTCAGTATTTATTTACTCCGTATTTTTTGTGGGTGTTCTGTTCTCTCTTTGGAAGTACTGTTCCAAGGCAGAGGGTTTGCTTTTCCTCTTGCGTTTCGTCACTTTGTGTCAGAGGGTCTTCTTTTGATCTTTTTTTTCTTTCGGTCAGTCCCTTTCCACAAAAAAAAAGGAAAACAAATCTCTTCACTTAAATCGGACAAAGGAAAAAAACAGTGGGTTTTTTGCTTCGATCCGCGTCCATCCTTCTCTGTTTAGCCGCTGTTCTCCGGCAAAAAGGAAAAGGGGCAGGGACGAGTGGCAGAGCCGGAGTCGCACCAATTACTTCGTACGGTTGGAGATCTCCGTCGAAGAAAGAGAAGCTCCAACGTCTAGGGGCTGTACCTGATTGCCGCTGCCAAAAGCTCTTAAATTCTTCCTCCGTGGAGTTGGTAAGTCGAATCTAGGCATTAGATTCGCCCAGGTACACAACTCTTTATCCCTTTGCTTTCGTAGCATTTTTTAGGGTTGTTTTAATTCCGCTGCATTATTTTCGATTGCCTAATTCCACTATAGTTTGTGCTCGTGTGAAAGAACAAACGAGATTGAGTAAGCAATTTTGCTAACATAATAATCTTGGGTTGTTCGTGCGATTGCTTCACACACGTGAGCCAAATTTGGAAAATTTAGGCCAGATTCTACGTGCCTCTGTGTTGCTAATTTTTTCAGTTTTTATTCTCTTTTGTGAGTTTTTTTTCTCCTTTGTGGTGATTTTCTGATTATTTTTTCCTCCTGTGTGGATATGTTTACTATAAATCAGTATGCTTTGACTCCTTTTAATGGAAAAACTGATTTTAGTATTTGGAAACAAAAATTGAAGTGTGTTCTTGTTCATCAAAAAGTTTATAGGGCTGTTAGTGATTCATATCTAGAAACAGACGCTAAAGAGAAAAGAGTTGAAATGAATGAAATTGCTTGTTCCATAATTTACTTAAACTTAACTGACTGTGTGATCAGAAAAGTTGGTATTTTGGAATGTGCTAAAGATCTTTGGAATAAACTTGATGAACTTTATACTGAAACCTCTTTGCCAAATAAGATTTTCTTGCTCGAAATTTTTTTTAAGTTTAGATTGGATATGTCTAAAGACATAGAAGAAAATCTAGATGTTTTCACCAAATTGATTTCTGATATTAAATTAACCGGTGATAAACATATTGATGACTACACCTCTATTGCTCTTTTGAATGCTATTCCTGATTCCTACAGTGATGTCAAATCTGCAATTAAATATGGTAGGGATAATATTTCTCTTGATGTTGTTGTGAATGGTCTCAAGAGTAAGGAATTAGAGTTGAAAAATTCTAAGAGTAATAAAAATTCTGGGGAGGTTATGCATGTGAGGGGTAGAACTTTGAATAAATTTCAAAACCATAAACATGCTAACAATGATAACTCAAATGTGAGAAAATTCAACCAGGGAAGGGGTAAGTCTAGATCCAAATCTAAAACAAGAAAGTGTTACAATTGCAATGAATATGGTCACCTTAGTAATAGTTGTTCTAAGCCTACGAAAATTCAGCAAAAAGATCATGCTAATATGGCTAGTGAATCAAACAACTTTGGTGATGTGTTAATGATCAAAGATTATGCTTATTTGAACTCTGTGCTATCAGATTATCTCTGTGAATCTGATTGGCTAGTTGATTCTGGTTGCACCTTTCATATGTCACCATTTAAAAACCTTTTTTCAAACTATCAAGAGATTGATAATGGTATTGTGTCCATGGCTAATGAAAAGAAATGCAAAGTTTTTGGAATTGGAGATATGTGTCTTAAATTTGACTCTGGATCTATTGTGAACTTAAAAAATGTTAGACATGTTCCTGATTTGTCCTATAATTTGCTTTCTTGTGCATCTCTTGAAAATGAGGGTTTTGAGGGAAAATGGGG